CCAGATTCTTCTTCTTCCCTTTTTAAAACATGGGCACTATATTTGCCTTTTTCCAATAGTCCAGGGTCTCCCCCGATCGCCACCAGTTGTCAAAGATAATGGCCAATGGCTCTGCAATCACATCCGCCAACTCCCTCAGGTGCACTGCATCCGGCCTCATGGACTTGTGCATGTCCAGCTTTTCTAAATAGTCCTTAACCTGTTCTTTCACCACTGAGGGCTGCTCACCTCCTCCCCATACTGTGCTGCCCAGTGCAGTAGCCTGGGAGCTGACCTGGTCTGTGAAGACTGAGGCAAATAAAGCATTGAGTACCTCAGCTTTTTCCACATCATCTGTCACTAGGTTGCCTCCCCCATTCAGTAAGGGTCCCACACATTCCCTGACCTTTTTCATGTTGCTAACATACCTGTAGAAACCCTTCTTGTTACCCTTCACATCCCTTGCTAGCTGCAACTCCAATTGTTCTTTGGCCTTCCTGATTATATCCCTGCATGCTCTAGCAATATTTTTATGCTCTTCCTTAGTCATCTGTCCAAGTTTCCACTTCTTGTAAGATTCCTTTTTGTGTTTAAGCTCACTGAAGATTTCTCTATTAAGCCAAGCTGGTCACCTGCCATATTTGTTATTCTTTCTGCACATCGGGACGGTTTGTTCCTGCCCCCTCAATAAGGCTATTTTAAAATACAGCCATCTCTCCTGGACTCCTTGCCCCCACATATTAGCCTCCCAGGGGATGCTGCCCATCAGTTCCCTGAGGGAGTCATTCTGCTTTTCTGAAGTCCAGGGTCCGTATTCTGCTGCTCTCCTTTCTTCCTTTTGTCAGGATCCTGAACTCGACCATCTCATGGTCACTGCTGCCCAGGTTGCCACCCACTTCTACTTCCCCTACCAAATCTTCCCTGTTTGTGAGCAGCAGGTCAAGAGGAGCACAGCCCCTAGTTGGTTCCTCTAGCACTTGTACCAGAAAGTTGTCCCCAACACTGTCCAAAAACTTCCTGGATTGTCTGTGCACCGCTGTATTGCTCTCCCAGCAGATGTCAGGGTGATAGAAGTCCCCCATGAGAACCAGGGCCTGTGATTTGAAAACTTCTGTTAGTTGTCTGAAGAAAGCCTCGTCTACCTCATCCTCCTGATCTGGTGGTCTGTAACAGATGCCCACCACGACATCATCCTTGTTGCTCTCGCCTCTAAACTTAACCCAAAGACTCTCAACAGACTTTTCTCCAGCTTCATACTAGAGCTCTGAGCAATCATACTACTCTCTTACAGACAGTGCAACTCCTCTACCTTCTCTCCTCTACCTGTCCCTCCTGAACAGTTTAGACCCATCCATGACAGTGCTCCAGTCATGTGAGTTACCCCACCAAGTCTCTTATTCCGGTCACATCATAGTTCCTTGACTGTGCCAGTACTTCCAATTCTTCCTGCTTGTTTCCCAGGCTTCTTGCATTTGTGTACAGGGACCTAACATAACTAGCCGATTGCCCTACTTTCTCAATATGAATCAGGAGGCTTCCCCTGTTGCACCCTCCTCCTTGTGTTTCCTCCCAGTATCCCACTTCCCCACATACCTGAGAGCTTAGGTCTCCATCCCCCGGCAAACCTAGTTTAAAGCCCTCCTCACCAGGCTAGCAAGCCTGCCTGCAAAGATGCTCTTCCCTCTCTTCATTAGGTGGATGCCATCTCTTCCTAGCAATCCTCCTTCCGAGAACAACATGCCATGGTCGAAGAATCTAAAGCCCTCTCTCTGTTACCACCTGTGTAACCATGTATTTACTTCTACAATTTCATGGTCCTTACCTAGGTCTTTTCCTTCAACAGCAAGGATGGACGAGAAATGACTTGCATCTCAAACTCCTTTATCCTTCGTCCCAGAGCCACGTAGTCTGCAGTGACCCACTCAAGGTCATTCTTGGCAGTATCATTGGTGCCCACATGGAGAAGTAGGAAGGAGCAGCGGCCCGAGGGCTTGATCAGTCCGGGCAGACACCCCATCACATCCTGAATTCTAGCTCCAGGCAAGCAGCACACTGCAAGTTTCCCAGTCTGGACGGCAGATGGATGACTTCGTCCCCTTAGGAGGGAGTCCCTGACCACCACCACCACCCGTCTCCTGCTCTTGGAAGTGGCGGTATGCTGCTAGCCTATGCACTGCAATGGTGCCTGCTGAAGTTATTGCTGAGTGCAGTGGGAAAGTGTCCTACTGAGGAGGAAGTAATAAGGCCGGCATCCCTAGAAACCTTTGGGATAGGATTGCAGAGAGCCTCCATGGCAGTTTCACCAAGATCTCTCAGGAAGATTCAAGGAACATCCCGGTCTACATAACTGCTTCGCATGCCCTCCCCCATACTCACCTCCCCTGCCTTGCTTAACTCTAGAGGGCACTGAAAAGCAGATAATAATGCTACCTCTTTGTTGCACCACGATCTCCTCTTGTACAAGTAAATTAATGAAAAGTTGATAGTTGTGTCCTGTTAAGATAGGAGCAACATCAGTATACCATCGTAATGGGAAATACAATTACACTATGTGACAGGGTCGGGCCAGATGGCTACAGGAGAGTAATAGAAGGTAGATATATTAGCCCCAGGTTAAGTAGGTCCCTTTTCACTGGTAAGGTAACAGGGAAGGTTCCAGAGCAAGCAGGAACCTTCTGGAGACAATTAAGACAGACAGGCTGATTAGAATACCTGCAGCCAATCAAGAAGCTGTTAGAATCAATTAAGGCAAGCTAATCAGGGCACCCGGGTTTAAAAAGGAGCTCACTTCAGTTTGTGGTGTGCGTGTACGGAGCTGGGAGCAAATGGCACTAGGAGCTGAGAGTGAGAAAGCATACTGTTGGAGGACTGAGGAGTACCAAGCATTATCAGACACCAGGGGGAAGGTCCTATGTGAGGATAAAGAAGGTGTTGGAAGGAGGCCATGGGGAAGTAGCCGAGGGAATTGTAGCTGTCGCACAGCTGTTCCAGGAGGCACTCTAGACAGCTGCATTCCACAGGGCCCTAGGCTGGAACCCAGAGTAAAGGGCAGGCACGGGTTCCCCCCAAACCTCCCAACTCCTGGTCAGAGACCAGGAGGAGGGGACCCGGACTGTGGGTTCACAAAAACGGCCAAACTAAGGGCTGCTGTGAAGCTCCAAGGAGAGCAAATCCGCCAATAAGTGCAAGACCCACCAAGGTAGAGGAGGAACTTTGTCACAACACTTACCTGATGTTACTTCCCCTACATCGGGCTCACCCATGCTCGAAAGCTGGGACTGCAGTGGAATCTCAAACAGGTCCTGGCTCATGGCATAGCTGGACCCCCCAGTTGCATGTTTTCCACCCTCTTCTTCCTCCACCTCCTCACTGTTCACATCAGGGGCCTATGGCTCAGGCTCCTTGGAGGTATCCCTGGTAGTCTGTGGGGTGGTGATGGGGTCTCTGCATAGTATGGCATGTGGCTCTTTATAAAAGCGGCAGGTCTGCAGCTTGGCAATGGATTGACTGTTGGCCTCCCTAGCCTTCTGATACACCTGTTGCAGTTCTTACACTTTCACACAGCATGGTGCTGGTCCCTGTCATACTGCTTCTCCTGAATCCTCCATACAATCTGCTCATGGATGTCCAGGTTCCTATTACTGGTCCATAGCTGTGTCTGCAGAGCCTCTTCTCCCCACAGGCCCAGGAGATCCAATAGCTCATCTACTCCAATCCAGAGTGTCTGGAGCACGTAACCGGCATGGTGAGCTAGGCAGTTGCACACAAGAGAGCTGCTCGGTGTGCTCGTCAAGCCAGGTAATCAAGAAAAGACATTTCAAAAATTCACAGGGCTTTAAAGAGGTGGTGGGGAGCCTTCCAGTCTCTGTGACCCCTGGGCAGTGGAGTTCACAATCGTGATCAGAGCGGTCAGTGTCTGGCATTGTGGGACAGCTGCTGGAGGACTGTTAGGGTAGACATAAGTAACGCAGTGTCTACATTCATGCTGCAGCCACCTCCATACATCGACCATGGCTCAGTGCCCCTTGGGGAAGTGGTGGTGCTGTGTTGCTGTAACAGGGTGCTTACATCAGCAGGACACATGCTTAAGTGTAGACACATGCACAACTAGGTCAACAAAAGGCAGCTTAAAAGACCCAACTTTGCATGTAGACCAGGACTTCAAGTCCAGCAGAGTAATGAACTTATGTTCCCAGGCTCATTTTTTGAAGGTGTCGTGCAGGTTTCCTTTGAGGATGAGGACTGAGAGGTCAGACATGGAGAGATCACTGTGGGAAAGGCATTCCCCACAAGTGCCAGGGTGTTTTGGTCTTAACATTTTCCTGTGCGAGTTTGCCCACACTGGTGTTGTGGGGGCATTTGATGCATGGGATGAGGTATACCCCAGGTTGTGATAGACATATGTAGGACCCATGGATCCTAAAAAGTGTTATGGGGGTACTGATCATCTTAACAGTGGAGCTATGTCTGTAGGTTTTGCATCCAGTTGTTCTGCCAGAGTCTGGTGCCTCTGAGTTGGTGGGTCCTGGTCTGTGGGGAGCTTGCTTCTGATACTGCAGAGATATTAATTGCCCACTTCGTTTAAAATGGTTTCTTGCAATGTGTTAACCCCTTATGTTTAATCTGTTCCAACTTGTATTTAGCTGCGACACTGAGGACCTTTCCCAGACCCGAAGAAGTCCTCTGTGCAGTTCTAGAACTTCTCTCTTCCACCAACAGAAGCTGATCCAGTAAAAGATATGACCTCACTCACCTTGTCTCTCTAATATCCTGGGACCAACACGGCTACAACACCACTGCAAACAAAAAATATTTTAACAAGCTAGAGGTGACTTATTGCAACCCTTGAGTGATAGGCAATTAGGAGTCACCAAGTCACAGGAGCCCCCCACAAGCACATATCCCTGAAGGTAGGGAGCTATCCACAGAGTTTTAAGAGCTTTTAAAGTGGCAGACAGAGGGAAGGCAGCAGCACAAATTTCCTAGATCTTAGCCTCACTAACCCGATGATGCCAACTTACCAACACGTCTATCCCAATGTGAATAACATTCTTCAGGTAGCCCAACAGCTTGTGAGCTTTCACCAGGTCCACACTGGGCGGGTCCTGCAGGGGGCGATATCCCTCCACCGGATAAGTGCTGGAGTGTTAAGAAAAGTCTACTAGCCAGAAAGCAACAGAAGACCTGTACCATTGGCTCTGCAAGAAGACTGCCATGCATGTGCTATATTATACAGTCCATATATTCTCTGGTCAGAACTTGAGGCCACCCCATGCTTTCCAGTCCTTGTGCCAAGCAGGGAACTAGGGTGACCAGACAGCAAGTATGAAAAATCGGGACAGGGAGTGGGTGGGTAATAGGAGCCTATATAAGAAAAACACCCAAAAATCGGGACTGTCCCTATAAAATCAGGACATCTGGTCACCCTACAGGGAACAGACATTCCAAGAGGCCACAAGGAAGTACAAGTATTTCAGACTTTGCTCACTAAAGTACCTCTGGGATCATCAGGCCCGAGAGCCGCGCAGCTATGGGCTGCCATTCCCAACCCTCCCACCAACACGTGAGGCACTTTTGCCATGCCAGAAGATACATTAGAGTGCCCTCAGCCCGGAGGGGAGGATGGGAAGGGCCCGTAGCAAAGGGGGCCCACACTCCTGGCCCCCTTGGGACTTCTACACTTTGAGTAAGATACAGTGAAGGGATCTTGGCACTCAAGAGCAGTCAGCCCACAGTTGAGGCAGCATTAGACCCACTTCATTTCAGAGCAAGTGGAACACCCCCAGTACAGGAGAAGGCACTTCGTATTGCCCACCCTGCTTAGCTTCCGGCCCAAGGGATGGCGAAGAGCACATCTGAGTAGGACAAGTGAGGGCAGGATCGTGGATTGCAGAGTTTGGCCTGTGCACTCAGCACCCCTCACCCAGAATGGTCTAGGTACCGGTTGTTCTTCCCCCAGGCTTATTGTGAAAGGATATCGGAGTGGGCGGCTGCCGAAGTTAAAAGCGACTGATTCTTTGAAGGAGAGGCTGATAGCGGGGAAGTACGCCATGCCAGCTCCCCTGGTGATGTTATCGAAAGCTGTTCCCAGAGACACACCATTCCTGAAAGAGGAGACAGCCCCCACTGGGGTTTAACCAGCCTGGAAGAGGTTAGTGGTTCATCCATCTCAGGGACCATGTTTGGAGGAGGAGGCAACAGACCACGGGCTTCTCTTATTTACTATGATCACACAGTGAAGGGCAGATGTGCACTGGCAGATTTGGAAATCAGCACCAAGGGCCCATGAATCCACACCAGACGTGTGCTCCAGAATCTCATTCAGAAAATGTGTCTCTAGCCCTTTTAATGCTGAGGTAACCCTGAAAACATGAATGGAGTGTGAAGCAATAATGGTATCCAAGACACCACAGATAACACTCAGAGTGTGATTTTCCCTGTTCCTCTATGTCAGTGCCCCACAGATCTCAGATTCCTCAGCCACAGCATTCAGCTTCAGCTGTGGAATTCACCTGTGCTGTATCAGGCTACCCACAACCTGTTTCCTGTCCCCCTGCCTGGCTGAGACCTGCCTGCAGCTGCCTCTTGGGCCCCAGTGTATGCTCCCTGCACAGATCTATGGTGCTAGGCAATGGGGGTCAGAGAGGTAGAAATGGAGCCAGGGAACCAGAAGTGTAGCCAGAGCAGCCAGGCAGCTGCAGATGAGCTGCTGATGCTGGCTACAAAGTGCCCCCTCTCCAACACAGATTGGCAGGGCTGGGCATAATCAGTGCTGCCAAGGCCCTTGCAGTCAGCAAGCACAACAAGAACCCAGCATCAAAATCAAGCAAGTTAGGTTGAAGAGGATTTTCTCCAGAGCCATGGCTGTGGGCCTGGGAATGTGAGGGATGCCACAGACAGACCATGTTAGCAGTGCTAAGAAATTCAGTCCCATTGTGCTACAGAGTGTTTGTGCTATGCCACCAGCGTAAAGCTCACAGGACAGCTCACATGTGGCAGGGGCCTGGCCTGGGAGAGGCATTGCAGGGTAAAACTTTGCCAACCTGTTTAGCAAGGAATACTGCAACGGACACACCTGGGTGAAGGACGTTCCCTCCAGCAGGGCCTGGTCTGCAGACACTGGGCACCCACAGCGCCCTTGAACTCTCAACAGCAGCCACTCCATAGGCTTTACTTTTCAGCACCAGAAAGTGTCCTGCATTTGGCTCACCAGGTCCAGCAGCAATGTGTTCCCATGGTGCCACTCCCAGGTGTTACAGTGGCAGTTCCCAGCAGGAGGAAGCAAACCCTGGTACCAATGTTACCAATGGTTTCAGAGTAGCAGCCATGTTAGTCTGTATTCTCAAAAAGAAAAGGAGTACTTGTGGCACTTTAGAGACTAACTAATTTATTTGAGCATAAGCTTTCGTGAGCTACAGCTCACTTCATCGGATGCATAAAGCGGAAAATACAGTGAGGAGATTTATATACACACAGACCATGAAAAAATGGGTGTTTATCATTGTAAGGAGAGTGATCACTTAAGATGAGCTATTACCAGCAGGAGAGTGGGGTGTGGGGAGAAAAAACCTTTTGAAGCGATAATCAAGGTGGGCCATTTCCAGCACATTTCCAGGAGTTAACAAGAACGTCCGAGGAACAGTGTGGGGGGGGGGGGGGGGGGGGGGAGGGAGGAAGGGTAAGCGGGAGGAATAAACAAGGGGAAATAGTTTTACTTTGTATAATGACTCAACCACTCCCAGTCTCTATTCAAGCCTAAGTTAATTGTATCCAACTTGCAAATTAATTCCAATTCAGCAGTCTCTCGTTGGAGTGAAATAGTAGAAAAGCAGCATCACTTGCCCCATAACCTCAGCCGTGCAGAACACAATGCCATCCACAGCCTCAGAAACAACTCTGACATCATAATCAAAAAGGCTGACAAAGGAGGTGCTGTCGTCATCATGAATAGGTCGGAATATGAACAAGAGGCTGCTCAGCAGCTGTCCAACACCACTTTCTACAAGCCATTACCCTCTGATCCCACTGAGAGTTACCAAAAGCAACTACAGCGTTTGCTCAAGAAACTCCCTGAAAAAGCACAAGATCAAATCCGCACACACACACCCCTGGAACCCCGACAAGGGGTATTCTATCTACTACCCAAGATCCATAAACCTGGAAATCCTGGGCGCCCCATCATCTCAGGCATTGGCACCCTGACAGCAGGATTGTCTGGCTATGTAGACTCCCTCCTCAGGCCCTACGCTACCAGCACTCCCAGCTACCTTCGAGACACCACTGACTTCTTGAGGAAACTACAAGCCATCAGTGATCTTCCTGAAAACACCATCCTGGCCACAATGGATGTAGAAGCCCTCTACACCAACATTCCACACAAAGATGGACTACAAGCCGTCAGGAACACTATCCCTGATAATGTCACGGCAAACCTGGCGGCTGAACTTTGTGACTTTGTCCTCACCCATAACTATTTCACATTTGGGGACAATGTATACCTTCAGATCAGCGGCACTGCTATGGGTACCCGCATGACCCTACAGTATGCCAACATTTTTATGGCTGACTTAGAACAACGCTTCCTCAGCTCTCGTCCCCTAAAGCCCCTACTCTACTTGCGCTATATTGATGCCATCTTCATCATCTGGACCCATGGAAAAGAAGACCTTGAGGAATTCCACCATGATTTCAACAATTTCCATCCCACTATCAACCTAAGCCTGGACCAGTCCACACAAGAGAAAGCACTGTAGTGTCCAGGAAGTGTAATAAGCGATGGTCACAAACACCACCCTATACCGGAAACCTACTGACCACTATTCCTACCTACATGCTTCCAGCTTTCACCCAGACCACACCACATGATCCATAGTCTACAGCCAAGCTCTACGATACAACCGCATTTGCTCCAACCCCTCAGACAGAGACAAACAACTACAAGATCTCTATCAAGCATTCTTACAACTACAATACCCACCTGCTGAAGTGAAGAAACAGATTGACAGTGCCAGAAGTGTACCCAGAAGTCACCTACTACAGAACAGGCCTAACAAAGAAAATAACAGAACGCCACTAGCCGTCACCTTCAGCCCCCAACTAAAACCTCTCCAACGCATTATCAAGGATCTACAACCTATCCTGAAGGACGACCCATCACTCTCACAGATCTTGGGAGACAGGCCAGTCTTTGCCTACAGACAGCCCCCCAATCTGAAGTAAATACTCTCCAGCAACCACACACCACACAACAGAACCACTAACCCAGGAACCTATCCTTGCAACAAAGCCCGTTGCCAACTGTGCCCACATATCTATTCGGGGGACACCATCACAGGGCCTAATCACATCAGCCACACTATCGGAGGCACATCCACCAATGTGATATATACCATCATGTGCCAGCAATGCCCCTCTGCCATGTACATTGGTCAAACTGGACAGTCTCTACGTAACAGAATAAATGGACACAAATCAGATGTCAAGAATTCTAACATTCATAAACCAGTCGGAGAACACTTCAATCTCTCTGGTCACTCGATTTCTGACCTAAAAGTGACTATTCTTCAACAAAAAAACTGCAGAAACAGACCCCAATGAGAGACTGCTGAATTGGAATTAATTTGCAAATTGGATACAATTAACTTAGGCTTGAATAGAGACTGGGAGTGGTTGAGTCATTTTACAAAGTAAAACTATTTCCCCTTGTTTATTCCTCCCCCTCCCCCACTGTTCCTCAGACGTTCTTGTTAACTCCTGGAAATGTGCTGGAAATGGCCTACCTTGATTATTACTTCAAAAGGTTTTTTCTCCCCACACCCCACTCTCCTGCTGGTAATAGCTCATCTTAAGTGATCACTCTCCTTACAATGTGTATGATAAACACCCATTTTTTCATGGTCTGTGTGTATATAAATCTCCTCACTGTATTTTCCACTTTATGCATCCGATGAAGTAAGCTGTAGCTCACGAAAGCTTATACTTAAATAAATTGGTTAGTCTCTAAGGTGCCACAAGTACTCCTTTTCTTAATGTTACCAATGTAATTGCGAGGGAGGGGCCATAAGGTCTTCCCATTCCAACCAGGAAGCTAAGGGCTTGTCTGCACAGCCCCCCATGTGGGCTACAGGGGTGCGAACTGCAGCATGCACTGAAGTGCTGTGATGTAACTGCACTGGACACTGCTGACGTGAACTTAGCCCTGCCATGAGTGCAGGAGACTGGACTAGATGACCTCTCGAGGTCCCTTCCAGTCCTGTGCTTTCATGATTCTATTTCACATTAACATAGTCTTGTGTGCAGAGCAAACTAGGCACCTTGTACTTCATGCCGGCAGCATCCACACAGCAGCTACAGCGCAGCACTGTGGTGCACACTGCAGTTCACACACCTGCAGTCTGTTCTACTCTGCAGCCTTAGAGCATCTTCTCCACAAAGCACCTGCATTCAGTCCTTGCTGTGCATCAGAAATGCCCACCACTTGCTGGACTCCCCTCCTCTGGCCAGCACCCAGCAGCAACTTGCTCCACACCAGAGATTCCCATTCCCTGGAGAGAATACTGCCACGCTCCACTGGGCCTGCTTTGCCAATCAACCAGCTGTCTTAGAGCCAAGCCCAGCAACCCCCAACTTGCCCTGGCCCCAGAGAAAAAGGGGGGTGAGTGTTCTGCCCACCTGCCAGCAGGTGCCTCACAGGAACAGGAGTGCAGGCTGTTACACCATAAGTGCCCCAGAAGAGGGAGCTCATCTACCCTCCATTACACAGCTGCCTGGGCTTGAGTTTAAAGGTGACCTTTGAAGGATTTTTTTTTTTAAATGAGGTTATCTATTGGAAAGCAGCAAAAAAGGCCGAAAGGCAGCCTGCAAGGGTTCCCCCACCAACATCCCTCCCCCAGGCTGGACGGCTGGGGGGGGTCTGGGTGGTGTATTTGGAGCTCTCACCCTTTAATCAGAGGGCTGGGGATAGACTCTTTAACAAAGAAAAGGAGTACTTGTGGCACCTTAGTCTCTAAGGTGCCACAAGTACTCCTTTTCTTTTTGCGAATACAGACTAACACGGCTGTTCCTCTGAAACCTGTCTTTAACAAAGAGTTACTGAAGATTAATGCTGCTGTAAACTGAACAGCTGTTTGACAGTCTGACTCAACTTTCACTCTCTGGCCTCACACACTGTTATTTTACTAGCTCTCCAGCCCCAGAGTCTTCCAGGCTAGACATGAACAGAATTTCTTATGGAAAACAAGCAGAAAAAAGCATTTCTGAAGATACCTTTCAGGCTTTCTGTAGCCACCAGAGAGTGCAAAGAATAAGCCCCATTCGGAGTCTGCTTTGCAGCTCCCTTTAACAGCTAATTCCAGAGCTCTCCTACGTCTAGTTCTCTAGCTTTGTACCAGCCCTTTAGAAGTTTAAAAGCAACATCTGACACAGACTTGCCCTTTCCATTAGCACAGCCCTTCTGCTCACCACTTTGCATGCCTGCAGCAACTCTGCATCTGTCACACAGCTACTGTTGCAGCGGACTCCAAAGCAGCGTCTCTCCCATTCATTTAGTGGAATGGGGCTGGGGGAGTTTTCACAAGTGCAATATTACAATGGTGCAGAACTCCATGCAGTGCCACAGACACCTGACCCAGAACCCTGAGAACCTGAGTGATTCCCCACCACGTCTAGCCTGCCTGGTGGCACTGCCCCAATCCTGGGGGCACAGCCTGAATCCCTGGGCTGCTTTAAGCTGTCTTCACTACAAAGTTAAGCTGGCTCCCACACACACACAAACCTCTGACCTACATATGAAGGAGCTTAAGTGAGCTGTAGCTCACGAAAGCTTATGCTCAAATAAATGCGTTAGTCTCCAAGGTGCCACAAGTACTCCTTTTCTTTTTGCGGAGACTAACATGGCTGCTACTCTGAAACCCAGTCCAGCTAGCTCATCTGGGGCTGTAGGCTAAAGCCCAGGTGCTGCTTTCACTTGGGCTTGTAACCTACCCAGTTTGCAGTACGGAAGCAGGTTCATGCCAGTGGTACTCCAATACCTTCCCACAATTCCTCATGTGCCGAGGACAGACAAGTTCTCCCATGACTCACTGCAAAACTATCAGAGCATCTCAGCTTACTGCACTGCTAAGAATCATAAGAACCCCAGTAGTCCTAGCAACACATTTGGAGGAGTGCAGCACCAGTGTTCCCTCTAATTTTTCCCCCACGCATGTGCAGAATGAATGAATGTGTCACACATCACCTCCATATTGGTGCACATAACAAAATTCATGTGGTGGGGGTGGGGCTGAGGGGTTCAGAGTGTAGGGGCTCTGGCTGGGGTTTCAGGCTTTGGAGTGAGGCCAAGGATGAGGGGCTTGGGGTACAGGACAGGCTGCCCCAGGGCTACAGTGGGGAAAGAGGACTTCCCCAAGCTCTCTCCCCACAGCAGCATGTGGGCTGGGGAGAATAGGCGCCTCTCCCCCAGCCACGGCAGGCCCAGGGCCATGGTCAGCTGGGGGGGGGGGGGAGGCTCTTCCCTGGCCACAGCAGGCCTGGGGCTGGGGGAGAAGCATCTCTCCCTGCCACCGCCCTGAGAGGCGCTTAATAGGCTGCTGTGCGGCTGCGCAGCTTAGAGGGAACTTAGGTGTGGACCCAATAACTTGACCAGGTCTTCACAGTGTGGCTCCTCACATTGGAGGGGGAGGGATAGTTCAGTGGTTTGAGCATTGGCCTGCTAAAGGCCAGGGTTGTAAGTTCAATCCTTGAGGGGGCCATTTAGGGATCTGGGGCAAAAATTGGGGATTGGTCCTGCTTTGAGCAAGGGGTTGGACTAGATGACCTCCTGAGGTCCCTTCCAACCCTGATATTCTATGATTCTATGATCTGGGCTAGGTTAACCCAAGCGCCATTCACCTGTGTTAGCTCTGCACCAAAGATAGAGCCTTTAAGTCATGCTCAGAAGTAAACCATTTGGGTTCCATGACGATTAGGAGTATAAGTACCCTACCAAGCTGCTACTTTGGCCAAGGGTTCAGCCATGGGAGTACAATATTCCTGGTGATTGCCAGGAGAAGCTCATCCAAGGCCTGGCAGCATCTGCTGAGAATAGAGGAAAGAGGAACATTGACACTAAGCAGGGCTAGTCAATGCAACAGGGAGCCCTGCAAAGATGCTTACAGGCAGAAAGCAATGGTCCCCTCATCCAGGTCTATCAAACAGCTGACGATGTCTCCTGCCGCCCAGGACTGCACAAAGAGAAGGAAAAGGTTTAGAGGCTTATCCAGGTGTTCGACCAGCTTCCCATTGGATATTCCCAAACCAGAGCAGGACCAGATACCTATCCCAGACTCTTGGACTGGGAAGAGAAGAGAAGAGCTAGCCAAAACATGGGTTTTCTGGTTCATGGGAAATTTTGCATTTTTGCAATTTGGTTTCATTACGAAAAGGAATGAATCCAAATTTTTCTAAGTGTTCCATGAACCAGAAATCCCCCACAGCAATTCATTTCAGTAACACTGACACATTTCCAAAACAAACACTAGTGTCAGTTTAGGGAGCCCGCTGGCCATGAGTCTGGAAGCCCTGGGGGTCCCTAGCCCAGGGTAGTCCACATAGCAGTGCTGTCACAGATCCCGAGAGTGTGTCTCAGGGCTTCCGAGCTCCTGGTTTCTCAGCAGGCACTTTGAGAAGCCCTGTAAGTCTGAGCTCAATCCAAGGTTCTCAGGAGCTTCCAGGCTGACCTAGAGCCAGACAGCACGGAAAACAGGGGTCCCTCGCCTCAGGGCAGTCTGTACAGGGGGACTCTCTGCCTCCCAGAGCTGGTGGGGGAACACCTAGCTCCTAGGCACTGTGTCTCAGCAGCCCCCCAGAAAAGCTTGTGTCAACATCACTTGCAGAAAGCGAAGCTGGCAAGAGCCTTCCAAAGACAAAAACACACCCAAGCACCTGTGGGTGAACACTTTTTGCAAAGTGATCACTCTATATCCAACCTCTGAGTCTTCATCCTCAAACAAGCCTGCACAATTCCTTCAAAAGACAAGCCTGGGAGCTTAAATTCATAACTTTGCTAGGCTCTAAAAATCACGGACTGAATAGACACACTGGATTTATGGCTTATTAAAATAATCTATAACCCACTACCAACCTCCCCCAGCTGCTCCCCTTGCCCTTCCTTTCCTCCCTATGAATGGTGGGCTGTTAACGGGCCACTTCACCTTGATTGGTCCCTTGAAATGTGTTAACTACTTCAACAATCTGTTCCACCTTGTATTTAGCTCTGGCCCTTGGCGTACATTTCAGAGACCTGAGAAGCTTGTCTCAGTCCCCAACAGAAATTGGTCAATAAGAGATTACTCACCCACCTTGTCTCCCTAAGACTGAGCCCTGCAGGCAGGCACAGCCAGGAGCATTCATTCTGACATTCCTGACAGAAATCAGAAGTTTTCAGTTTTGCAAAGAGAACAATTTCGGTTGTTTTCCAGCAACCCTTTTTTGGCCAGGTCTAGAGAGAAAAGCACGGGACATCTCCTTCCCACAAAAGCTCACACAGCATCGTCAGCCACCTCTGCACAGTTGTGCACACAACACTCAGAGGCTCTCCTTGTTGGCCATTACTAGGTTTACATGTATGACCGTGGCTGTGTCAGACCCACAAACCCAGCAGAATTAGCCACAGGGCAGCAGCATCGTTTAACAAGGAGCAAACCAAATGGTGCCCTCCTGAGAACAATAGCTGCACCAAGCTGGGGTTCATTCCCATGAGCAGCTGCTCAGTGAACTGAACTAGATGGCCAAGCAGCCAGGTCCGAATACGTAGGTGCTGTAAGGGTGCAGTGTGCTACCAGGAGCATAGATCAGTGATCATCAGGCTGTCTGCATCCCCGAGCTCACCTGGGGCTGGCTCCTTGTTTCGCCAAACCACTCACTAGTGTTTTACAAAGTCCAGGAAAGAGCTTTGTCAGATACAGGGAGCAAAGGGAGCCACCTACTTCCTTCCCTTTTAAAGGGAATATGGCTCTGCTAGCTCTTCTCTTCCCCTGCCCAAAGGAAAGAACAGCTCTTCCCCAGCTGGCATTCACAAAGACAATGATGGGGTTCAGTGTGGTTTGAGAGCAGCACTGCCTCTCTGGGCTCTGCTGACTGCTGCACACCCTCTTGCAGAGCCAGCTCCTCTCAACACCTCCATGTCACTGCCAATACCAATTAAGGCTTCTGCAGAACTCATCACTGCAGCTGGGGAATGCTAGACCATGCAGTCACAGTGCTCCACTAGCGACCTAACCTGTGACCTGGTGGGAAGGCCCAAAAGCAAAGGAGAGCTCCCTCTTGGCAGCCACTGAGCGCAGGCACTTACTTTACCGTAGTTGGTGGTGGTGACGTTCCACTTGCGCACCCTGTTTCCATCATATGCATACGAATCCAGAGTGTCTCCAACCCCCTCCTGCACAGAGAAGAGGCCAAGAATAGAGTCAAGCTGACGGGGCACAAGAAGCCCAGCTCAAGCACCTCACACCCAGACATCAGGAATCATAACATTCAAAAACCGGTAGGAGAACACTTCAACCTCTCTGGCCACTCAGTAAAAGATTTAAGGGTAGCAATTTTGCAACAGAAAAGCTTCAAAAAACAGACTCCAAAGAGAAACTGCTGAGCTTGAATTAATATGCAAAGTAGATACCATTAACTTGGGTTTGAATAGAGACTGGGAGTGGCTGGGTCATTACTCATATTGAATCTATTTCCCCATGTTAAATATCCTCACACCTTGTCAACTGTCTAAATGGACCATCTTGATTATCACTACAAAAGTTTTTCTCCTGCTGATAATAGCTTGGCCGTTTTTCTGAACCCAAAGTGCAGGTCGACTCCTCCTGTGTCTGACCAGGAGTTGGGAGGTTTGGGGGGAACCCGGGCCCGCCCTCTACTCCGGGTTCCAGCCCACAGCCCTGTGGAATGCAGCTATCTAGAGTGCCTCCTGGAACAGCTGTGCGACAGCTACAACTCCCTCGGCTACTTCCCCATGGCCTCCTTCCAACACCTTCTTTATTCTCACCATAGGACCTTCCTTCTGGTGTCTGATAATGCTTGTACTCCTCAGTCCTCCAACAGTCCGCGTTCTCACTCTCAGCTCCTAGTGCCTCTTGCTCCCAGCTCCTCACACGTGCACCACAAACTGAAGTGAGCTCCTTTTTAAACCCGGGTGCCCTGATTAGCCTGCCTTAATTGATTCTAGCAGCTTCTTGATTGGCTGCAGGTGTTCTAATCAGCCTGTGTCTTAATTGTCTCCAGAAGGTTCCTGATTGTTCTGGAACCTTCCCTGTTACCTTACCAGTAAAAAGGGACCTACTTAACCTGGGGCTAATATATCTGCCTTCTATTACTCTCCTGTAGCCATCTGGCCCGACCCGGTCACTATATATCTTCTTGCTATATGTTCCATTCTATGCATCTGATGAAGTGGGCTGTAGCCCACAAAAGCTTATGTTCTAATAAATTTGTTAGTCTCTAAGGTGCCACGAGTACTCCTGTTCTCTTCACACCCAGAGAGGCAGCCACTGCAATGGAAGCGAAGCCACAAGGTAGAGAAAATGGGCTTTCTGGCGCTCAGCAGCATGCGCACTCTGCTGTGGGCAGGAGGAGAGCGTTGGACCATAATTCTAGTAGTTCACACACACAGCCCCCAGATCTATGGTCACCTGTAATCCTCCCAGGGCAGCAGCAGACTGCCCTCTGCACTCCCACAGCGCCTGCAAAGATCCTGTTACTCAGCGGCACTTGCACTCCCACTTCCTATGCCTTTTTACAGACCACCGCCCCACTGACCTTCAGCCCAAACAAAAGAATAGGAGCAAACCATACACCCAACACTCTAGCCAGTGAGACACCACCAGCTGCTCCCCGTCCCCCCTGCCTTGCCAATCACACATCAACATTCAAGGACACACTGAAAACAGGCAGGCCAGACTCCAAGTGAAACAAACAGCCCCCAAATGCCTGGCAAGAGTTTACCAGGCTCTGCTTATGCCAGCCTGAGAAGCCACGTAGCACCTATTGGCAAGAACCATGTTGAGGCCCAGATGCCATGAATGTTCCCATCAGCCCTGTATATCATGCTAACAGGGTGCCAGAGGAGAGAGCAGAAGGGAGAGCCTATGTAATCTGAGATGCAGCATTTGCTGTCCCCAGTTGTGTATCCAGCATGAGCACATAACACAGAAGGGATTTGGAGGGCACCTGCACTGTACCCTAGTCTGCAATTGCAGCAGAAATAGCTTTTATGAGGTCTATTATTTCATGATGATCTGACATTTACAGTGTGCACATGTGCTTGGAAGCAACTTTAGCGCACCAAGACAACAGAACACGCCCCCCACCTCGGCATGCAGGCCAGGAACAGGCTGCAGAGCTGTGCAGTTACAGTACCTCCTGATTAAACCTGCAGTTGAGAGTGCACCAGCCAATCTGCATGAGCCCTTGGGAGGAGATGAGCACCTCGTAGATCCATTTCCCTGGAAGAGAGGGGAGAGGAGCAGGGATGACAGAGCCAGACAGCACAAACTAAGAACTCAGTGCAGCAGAACAGCAGGCAGCGACACTGCCATTGCAGGAGAGGATGTGATGTCCAGGGGACCTTAAGGTCAAACCCAATCCCCTCTGCCAACTCCTCCCATTTGGTATTAGACAATCATTTGCCTCCCTTCCATCCCCACAGACCAAGTGGAAGGATTGGGGTTTTAAAAGCTTGAGGAGGCTGCAGCATATCAAACACCCTTGCCTCTCCAGCTGGGTAACCTGCAACTCCCTTCTGTCATGGCAGGCTCTCCAGCCACACCACCCGCTCACTGCACTTACCTTTATACACACAGGTCGTGGCCCTGATGGAGCCAAAGTTGCTATGGCCAATCACCTGAATGGAGGAACAAACAAGGGAGATTTGTACAGCTGAGGCAGGCCCACAGATTCCCCCAGCCCAGGCCCCACCACTGGCACTTCCCACTGCATGCAGCCCAAGTCACAGGGGACACTTTTCCATCGTAAGTCAGGGAGACAGTTGCTATCAAAGGCAACATATCAATTGCCAGGATCCCAGGGTCTTCAGCAGCAAACAGTCTGGAGCTACCTGAATTGCACACATCCCATAACGCATGGTGTTTGCAAATACATTACGAGCTTAGTAGGAGCTCAGCAGGAGCTCAGCAGCACCACCAGGGCCCAGCAGCAATAGCCAAGTAGATATAGTTTGTTGCTGGTGCTGCTGAGAGTACAAGGAGGAGCAGGGGAGATGTCTGGATCCTAGATAAGCCACGTGAAGCTAGGATGAAGTCACAGGTTCAGTATAGCCAGCCTGGAGACCAGGACTAGGGAGTACTTACTACGGTTCCCACCCGGTTCTTTCCCGACACAGAGGAATGACAACCCATGCTCTAAGGTGCTCCTGATTTCAGGCCAGACAAGGAGGTGGGGGTTCAGGGAGTGACAGGCAATTTACACACACACATCAGTTTGACAACGCACTCTAGATCCAGGGGAGGAGAGAGATGGGGCGGTGGCAGGCAAAGCAAGAAGGACCAAGGAGGAAGAACAAAGAGAGACTGAGACAGAGGTGTAAGCACGGGGCAAGGGACGCAAGGAGACAGTGAGGGGTGGGATTGCTGGGGCAGGTGGAGAATCTGCTAGATCCCAGCAGACTGGGCCACTTTGCTCTTTCAGTGAGTGTGCTGGGGGAGAAAGGGCTACAGTAAGTGGAGGCAGCAGGGCTCAATGGGGGCAGTGGGTTCAGTGAGTGGCAGGAAGCAGGGCTTGTGGCCAATGGGATAGAGCAAGAGAAAGAGAAGAGAACAAGTCAGTGCAGTGATGGGGACTCCCACAGCATCATGGCAGGAGCAGAGGGAATAGGTGCTGGAAGTGAGCCAGGGAGCGAGAATGGACAACAGGCTAGTGAAGGGAAGGATGAGGGAACTGCCTGGCCCCTGCTGCCCAGAGACCTCTGGTTACCCAAAGGCCCTGCATACTGCCTTTCATTTTTGTTTAATGCTTCACTGACTTAACCTGCAGCACCTGGGTATCACAGAATACAGGCTAAGTGCAATGCAACCTCGAGGTGACTTAAAAAAACCCAACTGAGAACCACCCCAGAATCTCAAACCTCTGGACAACAGACTATGCAATAAAACCAGAGCAGGAGCAGCTTGCCTGAAATACAGTTTGAAGGCACTGCTAGAACTCCTCCTCTTGGAGAATCTGTTTCACTCAGGAGCATTACAGCCTCCCAGAGCGTCATTTAACAACACTCACCAAAATGGCGGCAGGGGGATTTGCTTTGAAGAACATGTTGCAAGAGGACAACGCAGGCCTGAAGACAGACCTTTAAATCCCCATGGGCCATTCTACATACACTGTGCCCCTTGTCACACTCACCCCAAGTAGGTCATCATCAACCAGGAGGAGTCCCTCAAAACCACTGGTGTGGTCCAACACCACAGTAGAGGGACCAAGTCGCCCCTCTAATACCTGATCTGAAATGAGAGTTGCATGAAAGCCAGTCAGAGCAGCAGAGAAAGCCACGTGGCACTTGCAGTAAAAGTGTTTTGTGGACACCATGGTATAGACTAGAGAAGAACACCTGGATTCTGCAACTGAGGAGGAGCAGTAGAACAGAGTTATTAGTATCAGATTATCAGCACTTCCAGGAGGCAGCGGGGAAGGGGGCTCAGGATGAAACTTAAATGGAAGTTCTCAAAGCAATGCATGATGTTTTAGGCATGCAGCACCCAAGTCACATGCCCAGTCTCATATAGCACCTGGAAAATTTACCCCAACAGTTTCAGTGGCTTCAAAACAGTGACTGCCATCAAAGCTGAACTCCAAACCAAACATTAGACCAAACATTCCCATCTAGTGGTAGCAGGACACTCGCACAGTAGATATGGGCTCGTGACTAGATACATGAAGAGGCAAAGCATCACCTCTTATGGGCTGTGCTTTAATGACTGGGGGAGGAAACAAATGCCTCGGACCATGGCAGGTAAAAGCGTGGGGCTGAGGAAATTCAGCAACAGCAGGGGAATGCATCAGAAGAATAAGCCACAGACTATCAACAAGCCTGCTTATTCCATTGGAGAATGGTACACTCCAGCTATTCTGCAGTGTGAAGCCTCAGCAGCAAGGGCTTGCTATATCATTGCTAAGGAGATATATCCAACACACCTGCCCAAACAAGAGTTCACTGCATAATGAGTTTGTCCATTCTTTGGAGCAAGCACCCACTATCCATCTGGAAACGTGGTTGTTACAACTAAGAACTGATCTGTTGCAGGGTTAGCCCACAAGTGCTTAGAATGCAGGAGTTAAAGAGAGGATGAATCAGAACATAGGAAAGCAAGAACCAAGCTCATTTAGGAATCTGTCTCCCATGAGACTGATTTTTCTCCCAATAAGGCAGACAAGGAAGCTCCAAAAGGACCAGACACCCAATATCTCCTACCTCTACTGTCCTCTGCACCACTGTCCTCTGCCAGCAATTTGTCTAGGTGCTCCTGCAGGTTCTGGAATGTCAGTGGCTTCCTGGGAATAAAGAAGAGAGCCCTTCAGAACTCTGTGTCACCCAGGTTTAATGAGTTCACACCTTGGGTGGCTTGTAAGCCAGATCTGCCTGACTGTCCCCACCATTATCCTTTGCTGCTCTTTGTAGTAAAGCTCACAGTAAGAAGTTCCACTTTTCTGTGTTACATATCATTAACCCAAGGAACTTGAGGCAGACAGGCATGCTAGGATCAAAGGCTGAGATATGTGAATAAGAACAGTGTTTGCAGAGAGATAAGCTAAATTACCAAAGGCCCTCAACTCTTGGTGCTGATCATCAGCTGAGGTCAGAGGCAATCCTATGTGGAGTACTGTGAAACTGGCCAACTGCATTACTATTACCACAGTGCCTAAAGCCCCATTCATGGTCCAGGACCACATTGTGTTAGGTGCTGTACAAACAGAGCAAAAAGGACAGTCCCTGCCCCAGAGAGCTGACAATCTAAATATAAAATGAGAGACGATGTAGATAGACAGATGGGGATGCTCAAGGAAACAATGAGACAGTATTAATGAGATAGCTTTGCGGATGTTTAAGGGGAGCTCAGCCCAAGCACAGTACAATCCACTACCAGAGAGCACAGCAGCCTAGAAGGACTGCTTCAATATGGCAAGTTCCATTAGCCAAGAGCTCTTTGTCTGCACCTGAGTTGAGGTGATAATGTACTGGGATCAGACTACAGCCTTCTACTTCTCAGCTCAAGTCCAAGGAGGCAGAGAGGAGAAAAACAAACAGAAGCCAGTTTGTTGGATCAATCACCCTTTCCTGGTCTGTCAGCCCTATGCCCTTAAAGCTCCAGTCAGCAGACAAAAGAATTGGAGTTCTGAAAACTGACATGCTAGTGCAAATGGAATATTCCAAGGCATGCTGGCTGGAAAGTGTGTGGCAAAGTAACATGAGACAGTCCTCTCTCCTCCCCCCATAACCTCAGCTTACCAATAGCCAAGAGGGCCCAAAGTTATTTTTAGAGGTGATGACAGATCAGATGTGAGCTTAGAATCTAAGCATAGTGGGAGGAATGTGACCCCCGGCGCCTTTTAAACACAGCCAGCCAGAAAGAGGAACATTTCACCAGAGGGGCTCCACACCATTCCAACTGCAACTGTACCCACCCCGAGCCTACAGGCTTCCCGTGGTAAAGCTGAACACAAGAGTTACACAGCAAGAGGCCCCAGGATTCTGACCCACCGAATGTGAAGCAGAATTGAAAGTATAAAAAGAATCTCAGTGCCACAGCTTGGTGTCTAGTGTCTAGCTTTACTTTTGCCCTGCACAAGCAGTTTCCTTCAGAGGACACCTATTAATAAAGATACCAAGTATCAGAGGGGTAGTTGTGTTAGTCTGTATCCACAAAAACAACAAGGAGTCTGATGGCACCTTAAAAACTAACAGTGACTTCTGGGTACCCATTCCGCTCTGTCAATCTGTTTCCTCACTTCCCCAGGTGAGTATAGTAGTTTTAAAGGGACAGGGAGTGGCTGGCTCACTACAAAAGCAATTTTTCCTCTCTTGGTATTGACACCTCCTCATCAATTATTCGGAGTGGACCACATCCACCCTGACTAAATTGGCCTTCCATATTGATTCTCCACTTGTAAGTTAACTCCCTTCTCTTCATGTGCCAATAGATATTTATGCCTGTATTTGTAATTTTCACTCCATTCACCTGAAGTGGGTTTTTTACCCATGAAAGCGTATGCCCAAATAAATCTGTTCGTCTGGTGCCACCAGACTCCTGGTTGTTTTCGTGGATACAGACTAACACGGCTACCCCCCTGATACTTGGTACCATGCAAGGCACTGAATTTAGCTGTATGAAATGGAAATCCATTAACTTCATGAAAAAAACTCACAGATACAGACAGTTATCATCTTCCTCTCCAAGTGCAAACAGATAGACATCATACCAAATGGACTGAAGGTAAAAAATCCATTGCAATCGACATACTACATTGACTATGGTGAGAGATTATGCCACACAGTCTCAAAGAAACTGAGGAACCACCTGATCAGCATCCTGTACAGCAAACAGAAGATCAAGAATGAGCTCCCAAAACTAGAAACTCTCATACAAAACCAACCTTCCACACAAACTTCCACATGGCTGGACTTTACAAAAACAAGCCATTTACAACGCTTACTTCATCGAATCATAGAATATCAGGGTTGGAAGGGACTTCAGGATGTCATCTAGTCCAACCCTCTGCTCAAAGCAGAACCAATCCCCAATTTTTGCCCCAGATCCCTAAATGGCTGCCTCAAGGATTGAACTCATAACTCTCCCCCACTTCTCAACAGAGGAAAAAGGACAGTAAACTACCTAAACTCCTACATGCCACAGGGAGCTACAACGGTGGTACCCTTAACTCACCCAACAATATTGTTAATCTATCCAACCACACACATAGCCCAGCAGAAGAGTCTGTCCTATCTCGGGGACTCTCTTGCTGCCCCACGCACATGATACAGTTCTGCAGTGATCTGGAAGCCTACTTTTGCCATCTCCGATTCAAGGAATATTTTCAGCACATCACTGAATAGAGCAGTGACCTACAAGAATTCTCCTACCAACGCTACAAGAAGAATTCTGCGTGGACTTTGCCTGACAGTCAAAATGACAGACTGGACTTTTACATAGAGTGCTTCCGCACATGTGCACACGCTGAAATTGTGAACAAACAGCATCACTTGCCCCATAACCTCAGCTGTACAGAACGCAACGTCATCCACAGCCTCAGAAACAACTCTGACATGATAATCAAAAGGGCTGACAAAGGAGGTGCTGTTGTCATCATGAATAAGTCGGATTATGAACAGTAGGCTGCCAGACAACTCTCCAACACCACATTCTACAGGCCACTATCCTCCATTCCCACCAAGGAGTACCAAAAGAATCTACACCATCTGCTCAAGAAACTCCCTGCTACAGGAACAAATCTACACAGACACACCCCTAGAGCCCCGACCACGGGTATTCTATCTGCTACCCAAGATCCATAAACCTAGAAATCCTGGACGGCCCATTATCTCAGGCATTGGCACTCTTACAGCAGGATTATCTGGCCATTTGGACTCTCTCCTCAGACCGTACACTACCAGCACTCCTAGCTATCTTCTAGACACCACCGACTTCCTGAGGAAACTACAATGCATTGGTGACCTTCCTGAAAACAACATCCTGGCCACCATGGATGTAGAAGTTCTACACACCAATATTCCACACAAGGATGGACTACAAGATGTCAGGAACAGTATCCGTGATGAGGTCATGGCACACCTGGTGGCTGAACTTTGTGACTTTGTCCTCACCCACAACCATTTCAGATTTGGGGACAACTTATACCTTCAAGTCAGCAGCACTGCTATGGGTACCCGCATGGTCCCACAGTATGCCAACATTTTTATGGCTGACTTAGAACAGTGCTTCCTTGGATCTTGTCCCCAAGCGCCCCTCCTCTACTTATGGTACATTGATGACATCTTCATCATATGGACCCACAGGAAGGAGGCCCTTGGAGAATTCCACCTGGATTTCAACAATTTCCACCCCACTATCAACCTCAGCCTGGACCAGTCCACACAAGCGATCCAATTCCTGGACACTACCGTGCAAGTAAGTGATGGTCACATAAATACCACCTTATACCGAAAACCTACTGACCGCTATACTTACCTACATGCCTCCAGCTTCCTTCCAGGACATATCACACGGTCCATTGTCTACAGCCAAGCCCTAAGATACAACCACATTTGCTCCAATCCCTCAGACAGAGACAAACACCTACAAGATCTCTATCAAGCATTCTTACAACTACAGTACCCACCTGCTGAAGTGAAGAAACAGATTGACAGAGCCAGAAGCATACCCAGAAGTCACCTGCTACAGGACAGGCCCAACACGGAAAATAACAGAACACCAGTGGCCATCACGTACAGTCCCCAGCTAAAACCTCTCCAGAGCATTATCAATGATCAACTTCCTAGCCTGGAAAACGATCCCGCACTCTAACAGGCCTTGGGAGGCAGGCCCATCCTCACTTACAGACAGCCCCCCAACCTGAAGCAAATATTCACCAGCAACTACACATCACACCACATAAACGCTAACCCAAGAACCAATCCCTGTAACAAACCCTGTTGCCTTCTCTGTCTCCATATCTACTCTAGCGACACCGTCACAGGACCCAACAACACCAACCACGCCATCAGAGGCTCATTCACCTGCATATCTACAAATGTGATATATGCCATCATGTGCCAGCACTGCCCCTCTACCATGTACATTGGCCAAACCGGACAGTTATAGAACTGATCAATGAAATTGTTTTTAATTGTTCACTTTACTAATATAACTTCATAAGTATAGTTTTATGAATGAATCGACATTCATTCATAAAACCAAGTACCCCAATAACTGGCTTACTGAGTTTCACTTTCAATCCTATTGCTGCTTAAATCGCTGAAACTTACACTGTTTCAACAGTTCAGAAGTGTGAGCAACAAGGGCGATGTCGTGGTGGGAGTCTGCTATAGACCAAGGGACCAGGGGGATGAGGTGGATGAGGCTCTCTTCCGGCAACTCACATAAGTTACTAGATCACAGGCCCTGGTTCTCATGGGAGACCTCAATCACCCTGATATCTGCTGGGAGAGCAATACAGCGGTGCACAGGCAATCCAGGAAGTTTTTGGAAAATGTAGGGGACAATTTCCTGGTGCAACTGCTGGAGGAACCAACTAGGGGCAGAGCTCTTCTTGACCTGCTGCTCACAAACTGGGAAGAATTAGTAGGGGAAGCTGAAGTGGATGGGAACCTGGGAGGCAGTGACCATGAGAGGGTCGAGTTCAGGATCCTGACACAGGGAAGAAAGGAGAGCAGCAGAATATGGACCCTGGACTTCAGAAAAGCAGACTTTGACTCCCTCAGGGAACTGATGGGCAGGATCCCCTGGGAGAATAACATGAGGGGGAAAGGAGTCCAGGAGACCTGGCTGTATTTTAAAGAATCCTTATTGAGGTTACAGGGACAAACCATCCCGATGTGTAGAAACAATAGTAAATATGGCAGGCAACCAGCTTGGCTTAACAGTGAAATCCTTGCTGATCTTAAACACAAAAAAGAAGCTTACAAGAAGTGGAAGATTGGACAAATGACCAGGGAAGAGTATAAAAATATTGCTCGGGGATGCAGGAGTGAAATCAGGAAGGCCAAATCACACCTGGAGTTGCAGCTAACAAGAAATGTTAAGAGTAACGAGAAGGGTTTCTTCAGGTATGTTATCAACAAGAAGGAAGTCAAAGAAAGTGTGGGCCCCTTACTGAATGAGGGAGGCAACCTAGCGACAGAGGATGTGGAAAAAGCTAATGTACTCAATGCTTTTTTTGCCTCTGTCTTCACGAACAAGGTCAGCTCTCCAGACTACTGCACTGGGCAGCACAGCATAGGGAGGAAGTGACCAGCTCTCTGTGGAGAAAGAAGTAGTTCGGGACTATTTAGAAAAGCTGGACGAGCACAAGTCCAAGGGGCCGGATGCGCTGCATTCAAGAGTGCTAAAAGAGTTGGCAGATGTGATTGCAGAGCCATTGGCCATGATCTTTGAAAACTCATGGCAATCCGGGGAAGTCCTGGACGACTGGAAAAAGGCTAATGTAGTGCCCATCTTTAAAAAAGGGAAGAAGGAGGATCCTGGGAACTACAGGCCAGTCAGCCTCACCTCAGTCCCTGGAAAAATCATGGAGCAGGTCCTGAAGGAATCAATTCTGAAGCACTTAGAGGAGAAGAAAGCAATCAGAAACAGTCAGCATGGATTCACCAAGGGCAAGTCATGCCTGACTAATCTAATTGCGTTCTACGATGAGATAACTGGCTCTGTGGATGAGGGGAAAGCGGTGGACGTGTTGTTCCTTGACTTTAGCAAAGCTTTTGACACAGTCTCCCACAGTATTCTTGTCAGCAAGTTAAAGAAGTATGGGCTGGATGAATGGCCTATAGGGTGGATAGAAAGTTGGCTAGATTGTCGGGCTCAACAGGTAGTGATCAATGGCTCCATGTCTAGTTGGCAGCTGGTATCAAGTGGAGTGCCCCAAGGGTCGGACCTCGGGCCGGTTTTGTTCAATATCTTCATAAATGATCTGGAGAATGGCGTGGATTGCACCCTCAGCAAGTTTGCAGATGACACTAAACTGGGAGGAGTGGTAGATACGCTGGAGGGTAGGGATAGGATACAGAAGGACCTAGACAAATTAGAGGATTGGGCCAAAAGAAATCTGATGAGGTTCAATAAGGATAAGTTCAGCGGACGAGAAGCTGGATATGAGTCAACAGTGTGCCGTTGTTGCCAAGAAGGCCAATGGCATTTTGGGATGTATACGTAGGGGTATTGCTAGCAGATCGATGGACATGATCGTTCCCCTCTATTCGACATTGGTGAGGCCTCATCTGGAGTACTGTGTCCAGTTTTGGGCCCCACACTACAAGGATGTGGAAAAATTGGAAAACATCCAGCGGAGGGCAACAAAAATCATTAAGGGACTGGAACACATGACTTATGAGGAGAGGCTGAGGGAACTGGGATTGTTTAGTCTGCGGAAGAGAAGAATGAGGGGGGATTGGATAGCTGCTTTCAACTACCTGAAACTTCCAAAGAGGATGGATCTAGACTGTTCTCAGTGGTAGCTGATGATGGAACAAGGAGTAATGGTCTCAAGTTGCAGTGGGGGAGGTTTAGGTTGGATATTAGGAAAAACTTTTTCACTAGGAGGGTGGTGAAACACTGGAATGCGTTACCTAGGGAGGTGGTGGAATCTCCTTCCTTAGATATTTTTAAGGTCAGGCTTGACAAAGCCCTGGCTGGGATGATTTAGTTGGGGATTGGTCCTGCTTTGAGCAAGGGGTTGGACTAGATGACCTCCTGAGGTCCCTTCCAACCCTGATATTCTATGATTATAACTTCTGCTCACTGTTTGCCATTCCTTACACTTGTCCACATTGTAATTCAAACTCCATTTTAACTTGTCCCAAACTCTATTTTTAAATGCTCACTCCATTTTGTAAAAGCTTGCTGCAACCTTTATTTTTGCAAAACCCTGCTGTAATCTTATTAGTTTAGATGTGTGAATGAGGTATGTATGGATGATGGAATCAACCTCCATCTCCAGCCTTTCCTGATGAAATAAAGTGTAAACACCAACGGCTGAAGATGCAGACAACAGCCCTGACAAAGCAAGAAGAGTCCACCCTAAAAAGAAAAGAACAAAAATACAACTGAAGAAACATCAAAGCCAGGTCCTAGGCTGAAAGTCATGTCCGCTTTTGATGGGTGATCAATCACACCGAACCCAAAGGCAGTGTGACACAGTAAGAGCTATAGACTCTGGATTCAAACTGAAGCCTGCAAAAAAGGATGGAGCAGATATAAGATTTTGGAGGGTAACATTCTGCTGCCAACATGGAAGGGCATCGGTGCATGCCCAACAGAGACCCAGCTCTTCCTTGTGCCCGGCATTCCTGGCCAGTTAGCCGCCACAAGCTACGAACCCAAGCTACATTCAGGACTGGTAACTATACAGCAGGTGCAGAACATTTGGGGGTGTGTGTGGGTGTGTGTGATATTAGTTATTGGTCATAAATCAAATTGTGTTATAATAAACGTGACATTTTGTCTTGGCCCCTGTGTAGTTTTGTCTGTGTAACACAGTCTCTACATAAAAGGATAAATGGACACGAATCAGACATCAGGAATGGTAACATACAAAAGCCAGTAGGAGAACACTTCAACCTCCCTGGACACTCAACAACAGATTTAAAAATAGCCATTCTTCAACAAAAAAATCCAAAAACAGACTTCAAAGAGAAACTGCAGAGCTACAATTCATTTGCAAACTTTACACCATCAATTTGGGCTTGAATAGGGACTTGGAGTGACTGGCTCACTGCAAAAGCAATTTTCCCTCTCTTGGTATTGACACCTCCTCATCAATTATTGGGAGTGGACCACATCCACCCTGACTAAATTGGCCATCAACATTGGTTCTCCACTTGTAAGATAACTCCATTCTCTTCATGTGCCAATAGATATTTATGCCTATATCTGTAATTTTCACTCCATTCACTTGAAGAAGTGGGTTTTTTACCCACGAAAGCTTATGCCCAAATAAGTCTGTTAGTCTTTAAGGTGCCACCAGACTCTTCATTGTTTTAGTAATAAAGAGGTCAGCATACAGTGCTCAAGACTGAGACAACAGAAGGGATATTACTGTCATAGGAAGTGTCACTGTATTACATATGACAATAGCAGCATTGTGTCTAGTTTACAGGGCAATGACTGCCCAATTTTCACAAATGCTTACACAACATTTCTGCAGCACTTGTCACTGCATAAGCAAACTGAGCAACAGCGTGTATGACTGATCAGGTAGATGCATAGCTGGCCCTAAGTACATGCAATCACTACATTTACTGTACATCTCCAAGCAAGTGAGGCCTACAATTACATGTGCACAATTCTATAAGTCAGGCAAATTGTGATAAGCCATGAAAGAGGAGACTTCTGCAATACAATGCACTTCCACTGGCTTGTTTTTCCCTAATGCCAGGATCACAGAGAGGCTTTGTTACCGACTGACTCTGGAAATGGTGTCCCGGTCAGACCTGTCATGACATGTTAGGAGGAAGGTAGGTGCAGCTTCACTCGCCATGTAAGAGTTAGAAGGCAACCAGTACCTGTAAGCAGTTGCAGGCTGGATCCCATCAGCACTGGGGAAGATGCGGTGCAGATAGTCATTCAGCAGCTTGCTGTTCACTATCCCTGTAGTGAACAGCAAAAGAAAGATAAGCAATGGGAAGTCAGGAAGATCACCCCAGAAATATCAACTTCACTTCCTTTGCTATGGGCAAGGTCTCCAACTCGTGGTGAAGCAGTGGGGTGTAGATCTCCAAGTCACCCTACCGTGCAGCAGAAAAGGCAGCTTCAGAAAGACATTAACCTGCTGACCATCTTTAGTAGGGGCATCAGAAGTTCTCTTCGCAAGTCATAGACTTCACAGCAAGGGCCCATGTCGATCTGAGCAGCCTCACTACCATGAGGAGAGGACATAGTGCCCCATCTATTCTCTTGCAGCTACATTCTGTGGTAAACTGGAATTTCTATACACTCAGAATAGGAAGTTTTACCAAATTCAGTAGGAAAGTGAGTAATCTAATCAGTTGTAACTCCTGATGTCATGTTCATATTTTATTTAATGCTGCCCCTATGTTTTCAGCTTTTACTCCTTTCTGTACTGCAACAGAAGTACAGTGTACAAATTGCTGGGAGGGGAGGGGGCTGGCAACTGCAGCTCCCCCAGTCTAAGCAAATCCCTTGCCAGATCTCCCTGGAACGCTGAGTTTCAGCTCTTCCTTTAGAGACAAGCTGTCCTCACACCTTCCATTTCCTTCCCAAATCTCCCTAGGGGAATAGGAGTGGAAAGATCTGAAGCCATCCCTAATGAAAGCCCACTCGGCTGAAGCCACAGACTAACCAGCATTGCCAAGAACCAGCAGTGAAACTGACTTAAGGACAGTTTCTTTCTAGAGGAAGATGGAAATGAAGTGTGCCTGGCTCACTTACAATCCCATGGCCCTCCTTGGGCCCACTCAGACCTTGTCTACATGGAACTTTTTGTGCATGGTAGCAGAGTCCACACAGCAAGTTAGCACATGGCAAACTAATTTGTGCTGTACATTCACAGCCCAGCTTGTTGCACATTAACTTGCCATATAGACAAGCCCTTATACTCTACTTCACCCAAGGAAAATCATCTGCATGACTCTGGCACAGCTTCTTACTTCAAGGCTTCTGATGCTGCACCCAGAAACACTGGACTTATAAATGGGAAGACTAGTTCCTGGTGGACATTTAAGCTGCCCAGAAAAAGGTTCAGATGCAAACTGTAATCCCCTGCAGCTTCGAAGTACTGCACAAGCAGCTCCCCAAGTCAGAAGGGGTGAAGACAAGGAGTCTGAGGCATCACGCTTTTGCCTGAGGTAGAGGAGCTGCATGCAGAGGAAAACCACTGTAGCAAGGGAGTCTTGGACAGAGACAAGAGGGAGAAGCCCTTAGAGCAGTGAGAAAGGCCCCTCCCACAAGAGACAGAACCCCTCTGGGCTCTTAGGAAGAGTTTAAGTCTTGTCTGCCCTGGAGTCTTGCCCAACTGCAATCCCCAGTGCAGCTGCACTGGGGCAACAAGCAAGTTCACTGCCCTTGGCACCAGGACAGCTTGTCCCTGCCCAAAAGTGGAGTAAGATGCCCCAGTGCAAATTGCAGTTACTCGTGTCACACTGGGGGGTTGGCAGTGGTATGGCAGTACTAAAGGGTGGAAGTGGGGAAAATCCTCAGTGTCAACTAGAAACTGCTAACTGGCTCTTGCAAAGAACTCAGCCGAGGAAACAGGTGTGCCAGCCTACCCCTACATCTACACACTATGCAAGGGCACGTACCTGTGAGCTTGGGCTTCTCAGACTCAGTGCTCAGCCTGTAGTTCCTCCGGGAAAAGGCAGTCCCAGCACCTCTCGACGTCATTCTTCACAGCTGTATGAACCACCACGGAGGCTGAAGCTGAAACAGGAAGGCACACCAGTCTGTCATTAGGAGCAAGGAGACTTGGTGAGAAAGGTCCCTCCCTTAGCTCTTGCCCATCATTATGAATCAGAGGCAAGCACAGAATGTCACTTAGATTTCCCTGGCTTTAGAAGTGCCCAACACGGCACTGAACATGTACATGATGATGTCAGACAATTAACAGGTCCCTACCCCAAGAGCTTGCCATACAACCAGGGAAGTTAACTGGAATAGGCTGCCAGCCCCACTCACAGTCTCAACTGAGGCCTGGGAGAGTGGGAGACAAGGCAATCATAACACATTGTAATTCAGCCATTCCTAGCACCTGACCCAGGTCATGTGACTCAGCGCCTACTTGCACCAGACAGTGCCCTCCACCCCCATGGGCTCCACAGCCGCCGAAGAGCTTAGGCTGTCCCACACCTAGAGCCACTACATAGAAACCGGGCAGCAGCAGTACATCAGTGCCCAGCATAGACACGCCTCATTCAAGAAGGGGCTCAGGGACAGCCATGTGGTACAAATACCAACCTAGCAGTCCTCACACTCATCCTGACAATACCTCACATGCCCACGGATATAGGAATAGACTGACACCTCATTCTTCTATTTGACAGTTTGTACAAGAGGGAACTGCCTTGGTCAGCGATGGGGGAAGGTAGAGAGAGGCCTGAACCAGACAAAAGCAGAACCACATTGCTTACAAAGCAGAGCCATAGAGCATCCAAGGGGTTTTTACAGGGACAGCAACTAATTTGGCTGGAAGTGAATGAGCTACTGGTGAAGCAGTTTGCAAGGTGAAAACCTAGCATTAGCCTAAATATTTCTGATTGTTCCCAATATTACTAGAACTCAGAGTACTACCTCAGAGCCACCCCCAGGTACCCAAGTTCTCAGCCGGAGCAGATCACTGGCAGAAAGCAGAGTTCTCTAGACATCACCCATGTTGTTTAAAGGCTGCTGCCAAGGACAGCAGATGTGTCAGTTGCCAGCTGTGTTCTGGCTCACAAGTGCTGTGCATCTACTGTTTGTGAGCAAGCACTCTACTGAAAATCACTACAATCCTCCCACAAGTCCTTTGGAGAACAACTGTCTGATCAACTTCAGTGTGTTCCCTGCTCTGAAGAAAAAGAGCAGACAGGAAGCTGGCAGTGCAAAGCGAGTGCCTGAGCCTAGTGGAAACAGCACCAAGCAAGGTGCAGGGTGGAGACTAGGGCAGCTCAGAGGAAAAATGGAGACCCAAGCCAACAATTTAAGTACTGCAGGAAGCCCATTGGTGGGAGGTCAGTTGGGACTGCTAGGCCAACAGGCAGCAAAGGGAGAAACAAGGGACTGTAGAGAAAAAACAGGATTTCGTCCAATTCCACCAGAGCAATGAAGCAATCCCTATTGCACAGTTGCCCTGGACTGTAGTGATGGTGGGGCACTCTCTCACCTCTCCAGTGGAGTGTAATGAAAAACAAAATGATGGCAACAACTCAAAGTTAGAATGTACTAAACCCGCAGAATAGCTTTCATCTGAGAGCTGGATAACACACCACACAGAATTCACAATGATCTTGATAACCTGGAGAAAGTCTGAATTAAACAGACAAATTCAATTAGGACAAATGCAAAATACTCCACTTTGGAAGGAATAATCAACTGCGCAAATACAAAATGGTAAATGACTGCTTAGGAAGAAGTACTGAAGAAAAGGAAGGGGTGGTTATAGCAGATCACAGACTAAATAGGCATCAACAGTGTAATACTGTTGCAAAAAAAAATTGATAATCATTCTGGGATGTTGTGAGGATGTGAGAATTTTCTGTAATTTTTATGGATCTTTGTGTGCCTCGGTTTCTTCTATACGTAGTAGTGATACCCAATGGGTGCGAAATGACTGTTTGCTCTCAAGGCAGGCTAAGTGATTCAGGTACAGCATGAATGTTGCCTACCTGTCTGAGACTAAAGGAGTCCTTGGGAAAAGCCTGGAAGAGAAAACAATGGCAAACCAGTCACCAGGACATTGATATCTAGCAATCAACAACTCAGAGGAAATAGTTTCCTACTGAGAGGAGGGGAAATCTGAGTAATATCCCCCAGCTTGAGAACAAAGGCTGGGAGATGTGAGGTAGTGGGGAAATAGGAGCTGGCTGCTGGAAGGAGTTGGGACTCTCACCTGGGAACTGACTAAGGAGGTCAGACAGAGAGAGACTCAGCTTGTCTGGGCTCTGACTAATCAGAATGGACTTGGGCTATGCTTTAACTTTCAGTTCTCTGGGCTCCTCTAAAGACTTCCTAAACTGGGCTCCAGTTGACTAATAAACCTGACTATTTTGACAATGGTGCTGAAGTGTCACTGCAAATGTTTGGAGCGGCACATTAATCCCTAAAGAGTGTACAAGTCTCTACCAGGGTCCATCTCATCTGGACTAGCTGAACAGAGCTCACAGGGTGAGGCAGGAGTGCTGGAGCAGCAGAAGTTCAGTCTAAAGAGGCCAATCCTGTGCAGGATGAGTGAGGCCCTAGGGGGTCCAGCACACTGAAGAGGTTCCTCCTAGACCAGGGGTGGGCAAATGTTTTGGCCCGAGGGTCACATCTGGGAACAGAAATTGTATGGCGGGCAATGAATGCTCAGAAAATTGGGATTGGAGTGGGGGAGGGGGTGCAGGCTCTAGCTGGGGTGTGGGCTCTGGGGTGGAGCCAGAAATGAGGACTTCAGAGTGCGGGAGGGGGCCTTGAGCTGGGGTGGGGAAGTGAGGTGTGGGGAAGAGTGAGGGCTCGGGGGTGGGGCTGGGAATGTGAGGTTTGGGGTGCAGCAGGGTGCTCCTGGCTCGGATCAAGGGGTTCAGAGGGTGGGAGGGGGATCAGGGATGGGGCAGGGGGTTGGGGCGTGGGGAGAGGGTAGTGCAGGCTCCGGGCAGCACTTACCTCAAGCAGCTCCCGGAAGCAACGGCATGTCCCTTCTCCGGCTCCGACACGGAGGTGCAGCCAGATGGCTCTGCACACTGCCCCGTCCATAGGCATCACCCCTGCAGCTCCCTTTGGAGCACTGGAATGGGGCCATGCCACAGCCTCCAGGAGCCATGTGGAGCGGCCCCTGACCCTGCGCTCCGGCTTGCGCACCAGAGTGGGGCCATGCAGCTGCTTCTAGGAGCCGCGTGGAGTGGCACCCAACCCTGCTCCCCAGTTGGAGAGCTGGAGGGTGGCCATGCTGTGGCTTCCCAGAGCTGTGTGGAGCAGCCCCCAACTCCAGGATACGGACCCTGGACTTCAGGAAAGCAGACTTCGACTCCCTCAGGGAATGGATGGCCAGGATCCCCTGGGGGACTAACTTGAAGGGGAAAGGAGTCCAGGAGAGCTGGCTGTATTTCAAGGAATCCCTGTTGAGGTTACAGGGACAAACCATCCCGATGAGTCGAAAGAATAGTAAATATGGCAGGCGACCAGCTTGGCTTAATGGTGAAATCCTAGCGGATCTTAAACATAAAAAAAGAAGCTTACAAGAAGTGTAAGGTTGGACATATGACCAGGGAAGAGTATAAAAATATTGCTCAGGCATGTAGGAATGATATCAGGAGGGCCAAATCGCACCTGGTGCTGCAGCTAGCCAGAGATGTCAAGAGTAACAAGAAGGGTTTCTTCAGGTATGTTGGCAACAAGAAGAAAGCCAAGGAAAGTGTGGGCCCCTTACTGAATGAGGGAGGCAACCTAGGGACAGAGGATGTGGAAAAAGCTAATGTACTCAATGCTTTTTTTGCCTCTGTTTTCACTAACAAGGGCAGCTCCCAGACTGCTGCGCTGGGCATCACAAAATGGGGAAGAGATGGCCAGCCCTCTGTGGAGATAGAGGTGGTTAGGGACTATTTAGAAAAGCTGGACGTGCACAAGTCCATGGGGCCGGACGAGTTGCATCCGAGAGTGCTGAAGGAATTGGCGGCTGTGATTGCAGAGCCATTGGCCATTATCTTTGAAAACTCGTGGCGAACCGGGGAAGTCCCGGATGACTGGAAAAAGGCTAATGTAGTGCCAATCTTTAAAAAAGGGAAGAAGGAGGATCCTGGGAACTACAGGCCAGTCACCCTCACCTCAGTCCCTGGAAAAATCATGGAGCAGGTCCTCAAAGAATCAATCCTGAAGCACTTGCATGAGAGGAAAGTGATCAGGAACAGCCAGCATGGATTCACCAAGGGAAGGTCATGCCTGACTAATCTAATCGCCTTCTATGATGAGATTACTGGTTCTGTGGATGAAGGGAAAGCAGTGGATGTATTGTTTCTTGACTTTAGCAAAGCTTTTGACACGGTCTCCCACAGTATTCTTGTCAGCAAGTTAAGGAAGTATGGGCTGGATGAATGCACTATAAGGTGGGTAGAAAGCTGGCTAGATTGTCGGGCTCAACGGGTAGTGATCAATGGCTCCATGTCTAGTTGGCAGCCGGTATCAAGTGGAGTGCCCCAAGGGTCGGTCCTGGGGCCGGTTTTGTTCAATATCTTCATAAATGATCTGGAGGATGGTGTGGATTGCACTCTCAGCAAATTTGTGGATGATACTAAACTGGGAGGAGTGGTAGAATCGCTGGAGGGGAGGGATAGGATACAGAAGGACCTAGACAAATTGGAGGATTGGGCCAAAAGAAATCTGATGAGGTTCAATAAGGATAAGTGCAGGGTCCTGCACTTAGGACGGAAGAACCCAATGCACAGCTACAGACTAGGGACCGAATGGCTAGGCAGCAGTTCTGCGGAAAAGGACCTAGGGGTGACAGTGGACGAGAAGCTGGATCTGAGTCAGCAGTGTGCCCTTGTTGCCAAGAAGGCCAATGGCATTTTGGGATGTATAAGTAGGAGCATTACCAGCAGATCAAGGGACATGATCATTCCCCTCTATTCGGCATTGGTGAGGCCTCATCTGGAGTACTGTGTCCAGTTTTGGGCCCCACACTTCAAGAAGGATGTGGATAAATTGGAGAGAGTCCAGCGAAGGGCAACAAAAATGATTAGGGGTCTGGAACACATGAGTTATGAGGAGAGGCTGAGGGAGCTGGGATTGTTTAGTCTGCAGAAGAGAAGAATGAGGGGGGATTTGATAGCTGCTTTCAACTACCTGAAAGGGGGTTCCAAAGAGGATGGCTCTACACTGTTCTCAATGGTAGCAGATGACAGAACGAGGAGTAATGGTCTCAAGTTGCAGTGGGGGAGGTTTAGATTGGATATTAGGAAAAACTTTTTCACTAAGAGGGTAGTGAAACACTGGAATGCGTTACCTAGGGAGGTGGTAGAATCTCCTTCCTTAGAGGTTTTTAAGGTCAGGCTTGACAAAGCCCTGGCTGGGATGATTTAACTGGGAACTGGTCCTGCTTCGAGCAGGGGGTTGGACTAGATGACCTTCTGGGGTCCCTTCCAACCCTGATATTCTATGATTCTATGATTCCTCAGCTGGAGTGCCTGAGCGGGGCAAACCCCAGACCCCACTCCCCAGCATGAGCTAGAGGGACAGCTTAAAACAGCTGGCGGGACTTAGCTTGCCCACCCCTGTCCTACAGTCTGTCCCAAAGCTGGGACATAGCACCAATCCTATGGATCCATGACAGATGTATTAATAGGAGTGTTGTAAACAAAACACAAAAATAACTCTTCCACTCCACTCTGCGCTGACAAGGCCTCAGCTGAAGTATTGTGTCCAGTTCTGGGCACCACACTTCAAAGAAGATATGGACAAATTGGAGAAAGCCCAGAGGAAAGCAACAGTAACGATCAACGGTTTAGAAAACATGACCTATGAAGAGAGGTTGAAAAAAACTGGGTTTGTTTAGTCTGGAGAAGAGAAGACTGAGCGAGAACATGACAACAGTCTTCAAGTACATAAAAGGTTGTCATAAAAAGGAGAGTGGTAATTTGTTCTCCTTAGCCACCGAGGATAGGGAAAGAAGCAACGGGCTTAAATTGCAACAACGGAGGTTTAGGTTGGACATTAGGAAAAAGTTCCTAATTGTCAGGGTAGCTCAACACTGGAACAAATTGCCTAGGGAGGTTGTGGAATATCTGTCAGTGGGGTTTTTTAAGAAGAGGTTAGACATCTGTCAGGGATGGTCCAGGAGATAATACTGAGCCCTGCCTCAGTGCAGGGGACTGAACTAGACCTATGAAGATCCCTTCCAGTTCTACAGTTCTATGATTTTCCCTTAAAACTAGTTGCTATGCTGCATGTGCAGTTTTAAAAGTTGCTTGGGAATTGTCAACAAGCATGACACTTTACTTTATCTTCAGAAGAAATAGCTGTGAAAACCAGGTAAGGGCGGGTTAATAGAATACCTTGAGGTGTATTATACGATAGGGAACCCAGTTTACCCTCCTCAAAACTGTACTTATTTTAACCTGCCAAAACACTTTAAAACAGCTAAAAAAACCCAGCAGAACAGGCACTACTGTATAGCACTTTGGATTTTCTAAAGAATTTTGACAGATTCCCCAACAAGTGTATTAAGGAAAAATGATATCAAGTGTGAAAGGTAAAGCACTGCCACTGCAATTAATTTAACAACCGCTTAAGGCAAAAGGAAACAAAGCACAGGAATAAAGGGCCAATTCTCAGTATGGAAAGACTAGAAGCTGAAGATTTATGGATTAGTGCTTGAGCTGGTGAGGTCCAAGATATTTGATAACTATCTGGGAGAGGATATGGAGTAGTTTGTAGCCATCTACCAAAGGCACATGTTGATTTTGGTTAATATACACTAAGAAAACCAGTGAGGAGTGACACAAAGGCCACCAAACAGAATTAGCAGCACAAGAGAAGATGAAGTTCAGTGAAGGCATGTAAAAGGTTATGATGCCCATAGGAAACAAACAAGTTCTGTAAAATCTGTAAATTCTGAAAGAAATCGGTGACTAGTGGAGACATCTGTTCAGTACACAACAGCATTCACAATACAGTAAATGTTTAGGCTCTTTTAAGAAATAAAGTATAATGATGCCCAAAGGAGTGTGTCCTTACCACAGCCTCTCTCACTACTATACCCCCCTCTTCTAGTGACCTCCACCGTGTGAGGAATGATCAGCTTGTCTTACCTCTATTTTGTCCCTCACTTCATCAACTAGGTAATCGGAGCAGGCAATTCTGAGATCAGCCCACTCTACTGTCCCTATTGCCACTTCTAATAGCCATAAACAAAAGCTTGTGTTTAAAAGGGACTAAGACATGGTACACATAATATCCGCTCTACCGCAAACCCTAAAAAGCAAGTTATGGAACAGCTCTTATCTGGACCCAACTACCCATGTAGCACCACTTTCAGAGAAAGCAACAGGCTCCACACCACACCAAACCTCCTACTGACTCCAAATAAGGAACCATGCTACACAGCACACTCACCTCCCTCACAGGTTACAGCAAAGCCTGGACTACACGGTCAGCAATAGCAGCAAACATTAAGGGTTGCCATACTGTGCATTCTGTATTTATGGGGAATGGGAAGGCTGCAATTAAGGTTTTGCTCAATACTATTAGGGGTTCGTATGGGCCACAGGAGGACAGCATTTCTTTTTTCCAGTTCCCTCTTAAAACATGTTTATCTTTTCATACAGTAAGAAAATAGACTTAAAACCAGGTGCTACAGTGAAAAGCCACTCTAATCTACGTTCCAGTGGCTTTATCACACACAGGCTTTCAAGCTCCAAAACTGCCAGAGGCTTTAGGGAAACGGAAGACACTTCTCTTGACAACGGCCTGTAGCTTCAGTCCTCTTGGAAACAAAGGCCCCCACACCAGTTAAACTGCAGCCATTTTTACAAAGGGTATAAGTAATTTCAGTACATTGTAAGTTATATGAACTGACAGCCATTTCAAGGAAGGGAAAATTGTAAGATAATGGGCAAGACAGAAAGACAAACTTTGCTTACCTTACAACCTAACCTTTTCAGCGTATATCTGCATTATAAGCACTACACTGGCACAGCTGCTATTCCGCTGTAGCTCTGTAGACACTTATTACAGTGACTAAAAGGGTTTTTCTGTCCCTGTAGTACAGTCTCTCTCAACCTGGGGACTGCAGGACACTTTTAGGGGGGTTACCAGCAGGGCCGGAGTTACACTTGTTGGGGATCAGAGCAGAAACTAAAGAGCGTGAGCCCACAAAGAAGGTATGTGCGATGGTCTCTGGGGACAGAACCAGCACTGGATGCGGAAGCATTGACACTGACCCACGGGCTGGGTGGCCCGCTGAGGTGAGCCACACCACCCAGGGCCCACGCCCAAGCCTGAGCCCCGCCCAGGGCTGAAGCATGTAACTTAGCTTTGTGGGGCCCTGGCAATTGTCCTGCTTGCCAGCCCTAAGTATTAATCATGATTAACTTAGTGATATTTAAGGGGGAGGGTCACAATTGGGAGAGGGGTCGCCTGCACAAAAAGGTTGAGACACACTGCTGTAGCAGATCCACCCGTGGAGAGGTGTTCATCCATTGCCCTAGCTGCGACTACAGTGGAGGTTAGCTCAACCTAAGTGCTGGCGCAAAATTTTTCACAGCCCTGAGTCATAGCTAGTTTGAAGTAAGTTTTAAGGTGTAGACCAGGCCTCAGCACATATTTGAGGAATGCTAGCAAGAAGCTTCAACTATACAGAAAGCCAGCCCTTTGTTAGCAAGAAAGAGAGGAACAACAGGTCAAACACTGGAGAAAGTTCTTAAAGATCCCACTTTTAGTTAATTTTCACTAATAAACTCAGATTTAATTAATCTGTCAGAAAATTCATGTTTTACCCAAAGATCAGGTGCTGCACACAGGGGGAAGATATAACACACTTTTCATGCAGAACAATGTGAATGAATGCCTGAAGTGAAAGGGGAACCCCTGAGGTGCTACCACATGCATACTAGAGCCATCTCTTTGGGCCTGCAGCACAGCAACGCTGACTGGCCTTCAAGGCCCACGGGCTGCTTGCACTAGTTGCCAATAGATCTGTCCTAGCCCCCAGGCAAGCAACCCTACGCCAAGCGCAGTAGTCCCCATCACCTTGCTGGGCTTCCCTAGGCTTCGGCTGAGTGCAAAATTAACTCACTTGTCTCACTACTTTTATTATGAGGAAGCCCAGGGGCTTTTAGTCTAGGAACACCCACTTCCCATCGTGGCCCCCGCTCCCACCCCAACCAGCCCCAGACCCGTCCAGGGTCCCCCCCACCAGTCCTCGACCCATCCACTCCCATCCAAGGCCCCCTCCCACCAGTCCCAGCTCCCGACCACCCACTCCCACCCAGGGACAACCCCCCACCCCGACCCACCAGCTCCCGCCCAGGGACACCCCCCCTCACCCCGACCCACCCACTCCTGCCCAGGGACACCCTCCCCACCAGCCCCCCCCGACACGCCCTCTCCCACCAAGCGACACCCCACCAGCTCCAGCCGCAGCCCCTCCCACCGAGCCCACACCCAACACCCGGACCCGCCCACTCCCACCCAGGGACACCCCACCACCACCAGCCGGCGACCCACCCAGGTTCTCCTCCCACCAGACCCAGACCCAGACCCAGACCCAACCGCTCCCGCCCAGGGACACACACGCCCCACCGGTCCCTGACCCCGACCCCACCCCACCAGCCCCCGACCCGCCCAGGGGCCGCAGCGCAGCACCCACGGCCCCAGGCGCTCTGGAGCCGCAGCAGGGAGCCCAGATCGAGCAAGGCCCACGGACACTCACCCGCCAGAGCCCCTCAGTCGCAACAACCACCCGGCTACGGACGGAGTCCCGGCAGGGACACTGCGGCCGGGGCGGGGCTGCGCCGATAGCCTGATTGGCGGAACGGGCCGCTCTCCGCGGGCGGAGCGCTAGGCTGGGCTGGCGGCGCAGCGCCACCTGCTGGGGGAGTGCGTCAGCCCGTCCCAGCCCAGCCCTAGTGCCGGGTGTCTCACGCGGGGCTGGGAGCTGCGGGGTCTCGGCTGTGACGTGCCGAGCTCAACCTAGAGGGACCCCGCTCAGTACAGCGCGGAGCGCCCCTGCGGCAGGCCCGGAGCGGGGTCCGTGTCCATGTCCATCTGGGCGGGGCGCGCTGTCAGACCTGCGGGCCAGGGATGTGGAGATTGCAGGGTCCTTCATCTGCATATTGTGTTAGCTCATTTACATAAAATACAACCAGCTTCCCTGTGCTCCACCAATATTCAATAACATGGGCCTGGCTCCGCCAATGTTTGGGTTTATATTTAATCAGAGCCATCCCGTCCATAGGATGGACGGGGGCAACTACCCCAGGAACTGCTCTTTCGGGGGGGGGCCCACACCTCAGGGGGACATGGGGTCCAGGGCAGCCTGGGGGCTAGCAGGGGGCCTGACGACAGCAGCAGCAAGGGACCCGGCCCCAGACCGCTCCACCCCTTCCCCCAAGACCCCGACCGTGCCCCACCTCTTTCCGGCTTCTGCCCCCTCCCCCAAGCAACGCAGGGAGCGGAGCGGGGCGGGCCGGGGCGGGTTGCTTGCTGCTGCCAGCAAAAGCGGATAACTACCGCGCTGCAGAAGGGAGGGTCAGTCTGCTTGGGCTGACCTGCTGGCTGGAGCTTTCCCTCTTCCTCTCTGAGCTGTTGTTGCTAGGTAGAGCTCTCTTCTTTCTCGGAGGACTGCTGCTGAATGAGGGGGGCCTTGCTGGCCTGCTCCCCCCACTTCTGGAGGGAGATGCCAGGACCCCACTAATGCCACCTGTGGGGGGTCCTTCCTGCCTGGTCGCCAGCGCTGCTGCTGCATTTGTCCTGGGGAAGTGCTGGAGTAGAAGAGGACTAATAGGACCATCGGCTGCTGGGGAAGCGCACAGAGACTCTGGAGCCCACTCTGGAGGGGGCTATTGAGGACTGAGTGATTATCAAACTGCGCTTTTGTGGTGGGGGTCCTGACTGTGTTTGTGGGGATGTAGGGTGTGTGGCATGGAGCCTGCCCCCAGTCCATCTGTGTCTCCCCCAACCCCCACCATCACCGTTGCCCCCTCCACCATGCCCACCAGCCACATACCATCTACCTCAAGCTCCTGCCTCTAGGACTCAACTGCTTGCCTGGCCTGCCACGCCCATTTCCACCATTTGGGCCTGCAGCAGCAGCCCAGTGACAGTGATTTTTTGCAAGCATACGTGGGTGCACGTGCCCCCTCTCCTATTTTGGACTGCGCCCCCTCCAATTAAAGCCCTTTGACCCCCAGCTTTTTTGCCTAAGCCCTTTGCGAGCCCAGTTTGTTTGCCTGCCCTTCCCTTTTCCCTCCGTGGTTTGGTTTGTTTGCCCTGCCCCGGTCCTACAGCTAGCCCCTGGGTTGCCCTGCACCACCACCAGCCTGGTTGCTCCCTTTCCTTTGCGGCCCCCCCCCTTGCCCTAATTGGTCCTCCCTTCGTGTGCCCATACCCCCTCTCATGTGCTTGTGTCCCTCCCCCATTTTGGTTGATCACTGCACCCCCCTGATGTGCTTGTGACCTTCCCTCCCTTAGTGCAGCTAGAGGAGCCGGACTTCCATCCTAGGTCGGTGACTGACCTGACCCCCCACACCCCCTGTCCTTGATAGCCCCCCTATCTGCCCCCCCCATTTTGGCACCCTCTTCCCCTGCCTGCAGCCTAGCAGGGAGGAATGGTTGACCTGCTTCCCCTTTCAACCCCTTTCTTTGGTGTTTTTCCCCTTCCTTCCCCTTCTTTGTGGCTCATCATGGCAGGAGACACTGTGGGTGGTATCCCTGGGGCAGACCCCGCCCCCCGACATCCTCCCAGGCCCTACTTCAACCGCCGCTGCCTAACGACTGGCTATCGCCCCTGCTGGGGCGCCAGCAGCAGCGGGCAATGGGGTGACCTCCACTATTGCCACGTCTCTTGCCCCCTCCGATTCTGGGGGAGCTCCCCCTGCCAGTGGGAACGGCCAGGGCAAAAAGAAAGGAAAGAGCCCCACTAAAAAGACTAGGCCCTCCATGGTAGGGGCTGCCCCCACTGCCGCAGCCCTGCCTTTGTTTGCGGCGTCCCTCCCCACTGCTCCCTCCATTAGCACTGCAGGAGCCCCCCCAACGGCCCCCAGAGCGTATACCCCGCCAACTACTACGTCATTTCTCCCAGCCACCGCCGCTGTTACCATCCCTAGCGGCCGGGGCCCTTCCCCACCTTGACCAGGAAGCACGGCGTCCGTTGCCTCCTGGTGCCCGCCTTGTCCCATGTGGAGACCTACGTGGGGGCGTTGGCAAGGGTGGTGGGGCCCACGGCCATTGTGGTGGCCTCCAGAATGTATGGCAAGGTCATCTTTGTCCGCCACCCAGGAGGCGGTGGAGAAGGGCCTGGTGGTGGGGGGCATGTTTTTCCCCATGGAGCCTGTCATAAATATAAAGGGAAGGGTAAACCCCTTAGAAATCCCTCCTGGCCAGGGGAAAGCTCCTCTCACCTGTAAAGAGTTAAGAAGCTAAAGGTAACCTCACTGGCACCTGACCAAAATGACCAATGAGGAGACAAGATACTTTCAAAAGTTGGGAGGAGGGAGAGAAACAAAGGGTCTCTGTCTGTCTATATGCTGTTTCTGCCGGGGATAGACCAGGAATGGAGTCTTAGAACTTTTAGTAAGTAATCTAGCTAGGTACGTGTTAGATTATGATTTCTTTAAATGGCTGAGAAAAGAATTGTGCTGAATAGAATAACTATTTCTGTTTGTGTATCTTTTTTGTAACTTAAGGTTTTGCCTAGAGGGGTTCTCTATGTTTTGAATCTAATTACCCTGTAAGGTATCTACCATCCTGATTTTACAGAGGTGATTTCTTTACTTCTATTTACTTCTATTTCTATTAAAAGTCTTCTTGTAAGAAAACTGAATGCTTTTTCATTGTTCTCAGATCCAAGGGTTTGGGTCTGTGGTCACCTATGCAAATTGGTGAGGCTTTTTATCCAACATTTCCCAGGAAAGGGGGGGTGCAAGTGTTGGGAGGATTGTTCATTGTTCTTAAGATCCAAGGGTCTGGGTCTGTAGTCACCTAGGCAAATTGGTGAGGCTTTTTACCAAACCTTGTCCAGGAAGTGGGGTGCAAGGTTTTGAGAAGTATTTTGCGGGGAAAGACGTTTCCAAACAGCTCTTCCCCAGTAACCAGTATTTGTTTGGTGGTGGTAGCGGCCAATCCAAGGACAAAGGGTGGAATATTTTGTACCTTGGGGAAGTTTTGACCTAAGCTGGTAAAGATAAGCTTAGGAGGTTTTTCATGCAGGTCCCCACATCTGTACCCTAGCGTTCAGAGTGGGGAAGGAACCTTGACAGAGCCGCTGGAGGACCTGGGTGCCTGTGTAGTCCTGACCTCCTTTCCTCCCCAATGCTGCCCACCCTCTCGACCCTGGGGAAACCGATCTCTGTCATCAGCCCTCTCCCGCTGGGCTGCAAAGACCCCACCCTCTGTCACATCCTCTCGTTCTGCCAGCAGGTGCAGCTTCAACTGCCGCCAGCGGCGCATGGCGGAGAGGCACTCGAGGGGTCTTTACTGGTCCCCTACCGGGGGGCCCATTACTGGGTGCATTATTCCATGGGGGAGGCCTGGTCCTACCTCTGCCATGCGATGGGGCACATGCGGAGGGACTGCCCCTTGGCCCAGCATGGAGGAGCGCCTGAGACCTCCGAGCCCCAGCAGGGTGCCAGCCCCGTCATTGCCAGCACCCCTGGCTGCCTGGCACCTGGAGCTGCCCCTTCTCCTTCTCAGTCCACCACTGCTCCCCCTCAGGCCCAAGGGGTATTCCCCCACAGTGTGCCCAGACAAGCAGGAGAGCCCCGCCTCTGCTGCATGCACTCTGGCGGGGCCTGTAGAGGAGGGTGCGGTGGGGGTATCGCCGGGCATGGGAAAGGGCCCGCCCCAGGGGAATCTGCCCTCTCTTGTGGTGCTCCACCGTTGCCTTCCTGAGTCATCTTCCCTGTCCCCAGACCCAATCCCTGTTACTCAGCCTGCAGACAATGCCATGGAGGGCTGGACCCTAGGACAGGGAAAGCGGGGCAAGCAGAAGGCTCGAGTTCCGCTCCTGCCATCTGATGCGGAGGACCCCTGGAAAACCAGGAAGGGGGGCACCGCTGCCGAACCTTCCGCCCTGCCCAGGGCTGTGTTCCATCTATGGGTGCCAGCTGGGGAAGACGTGGCAGTACCAGAGAGGAGTGGGGTGGTGTCATAGAGCCCCTCCTGCCTGCTTACCATCTAAAACCCCTGCGAGCCCCAAAGCGAGCATCGCTCCGGAGTCAGACCCAGAGCCTCGATCTCCTCAAATATGGATGTAAATTCTTTCACAGATTAGACTCCCTCCTAGTCTGGGCCCAATCCTTTTCCCAGTACAGTCCTTGTTAGTTCGAGCAGGCATCTCAGGTGGTAAGCAGGGGCTTTCTCGGGACTGGCAGCCTCCTTTGTCCTGCTCCACCCCCTTTTATAGCTTTGGCACAAGATGGGAATCTTTTGTCTCTCTGGGTCCCCACCCCCCCCTTCTAAATGGAAAAGTACCAGATTTAAGATAGACTCCATGTCCTGTGAGACCCCAGGCTCCATTCTTCCTGGGCTGGCCCACACGTACACAGGAAGGTTTGCAAGTAAACAGAGCCATTTACAGTTAATTGATTCTGAAGCACCCTTAATGGCTTCTACTTAACATGTTTACATCAGTAATACAAGTTTATAGCATATTCTCCTAACTCCAGACATAGAAATAATACATGCAAACAACTAGGATGACTGCAGGATTCATACAAGGTTTATGCGCTTGGCAACATTCAGCGCACACCCGGAGTGTTGTGCTGGATCTGTGCACACACAGCTCCTTTCAAGGGCATCAACCTTGGAATC